ATTAAAAGACCATTTAACATTCAAGTTACAGGTCTAGGGTATGGAACAGGTCAAATTCTAGAAAATGAGTCAAGACCTGGTCATATCCAAGTTTTATTTTGACCTTATAACAAGATGGTTTTTAATCTTAAAGTAGAGTCAGGCTGGTTCATCAGTAGCTCAGTTGGTAGAGTGCTTGCTTAGCATGAATGAAGCATTGGGCTCTATCCCTGACATCATATAAAACCAGGATGGTCAGTGGAGGTCAGATGACCAGAAGTTCAAGGTCACCTTTGGCTACGGTAAATTTGAAGCCAGCCTGGAGTTCTTGAGACTTTTCTCAAAAATTCAGAAAATAAAAATAAAAAAGCAGAATATAAGTATAAAAGATTGCTAATTGAAAGTAATATAAATAGGGCCTGAAAGATGGCTTAGTTGGTAAAGGCACTTGCTGCCAGACCTGGGGACTTTAGTTTAGTCCCCAAGAGCCTCATGGTGGAAAGAGTGAACCAACTCTCACAAGTTGACCTCTGACCTCTGCACACACTGTGACACACATGCATAAGCATGTGCACACACACAATAAATGTAATTTTAAAAAACAATAAGTAGTATAAACAGCCAGGTGTGGTGGTACACACCTTTAATCCCAGCACCGGGGAGGTAGAGGCAGGCAGATCTGTATGAGTTCTAGGCCAGGCTGGTCTACATAGTTCTAGGACAGCCAGGGCTACAAAGAGATTCAGTCTCAAAAAAAAAAAAAAGTAGTATAAAGATCCTTCTTTAAATAACACAGATTGTATCTAGCCGTCTTTACCTAGTTTTTGAAGTAAGCAAGATTGGGGCTTGGGTATGCACGTTAGTGGAGGTGCTTCTTAGCACCCAGAGGGCTCTGTTAATCTTCAGTGCCACATACAAAGAGGAAGCCTTAATAAGTTCTTCATGGAAAGAGGAACATTTAATAACCAGTCAGTATATTAGTATGTCCTCATTCTCATTAGTAAGTAGGGAAACACAAACCATAATGATAGACCGTTTAACGTTCATTAGACTGGCAAGAGCCATCAGGTGTTGGTAAACCAAGCTGGAGTCAACTCTGCAGCAATGCCAGTCTGCCTCTTGGTACCTGACCTGGGGAGCCGTGGGGGCTCAGGCCTTGCTAGCCCATGTATGGGAAGATAGAGAGCCTCAGGAGGGCTTATGCACTGCTCATGGGAGTAGGTTACAGCAATTATTTCACAGTGCCTAGTCAAGCTGAAGACATACATGCCCTACAAGAAAGGGTCTGAAAACTAAAAGATGTGCTAGCTGTGGTCCAGCCATTCCACCTCCAGGAATTGTCACTTTAGCTGCCTAAAGAACCTAGTAAATGTAGATTGTGGGCTGAGGAATATGACTCACCGGGAAAGTACTTGAAGCCCTGGGCTCCATCCCTGGCAACCCCTGGCCTCACCCCCCAAAATAGGAGATTCTGATATAATAGGTTTGGGATTAAGAGTCTGCATTCTTTTTGTTTGTTTGTTTTAATTAAAAAACCCTTTTTAAAATTTTAATGTATATGGGGTTTTGCCTCCATGTTTGCCTGCTCACCACATGTGTACAGTGTGTTCAGAGGCCAGAAGAGGGCGCTGGATCCCCGGGACTGGAGTTAAGGTTGTAAACTATCATGTGGGTAATTGGAATCGAACCTGGGTCCTCTGAAACAGCAGCCAATTCTGTTATCCACGGAACCGTCATCTCTCTAACCTCTTCTTTTTTTTTTTTTTTTTCCAAGACAGGATTTCTCTGGGTAACATTCTTGGCAGTCCTGGAACTTGGTTTGTAGATCAGGCTGGCCTCGAACTCAGAGATCTGCCTGCCTCTTCTTCCTAAATGCTAGAATTAAAGGCATGCACCACCACGGCCCAACAATCTCTTATTTATTTTTTAAATAGATTCATTTATTATTTTTATTTTATGTGTATGGGAGCTTTGCCTGGATGGATGTATGTGTGTTGCACATGCGCCTGGTACCCTCTGAGGCCAGGAGAGGGCATTGGATCCCCTGGAACTGATAATACAGGTAGTTGTGAGCTGGGAACCAAACCCAGGTCTGCAAGAGCAGCACTGAACCATCGCTCCAGCCTTTACTTTCTCATTATTCCATGGGGGTGTGTAGGCACGTGCACACGGCTAAGTGCTGACGCCTGAGAGGGTGCTGGTGAGAGTCTGATCCTCGAGAGCTAGAGTTACAGGCAGTTGTGAGCCACCCAGTGTGGGGGCCAGGAACCAAACTTGAGTTCTCAGCAAGAGCAGTCTCAGTGTAAGCTCTTAACTGCTGGGTCACCTCTCCAGCACTTGTTTTTGTCTTTTCTTTCTTGTTTTTTAATTTTGGAAAGGGTATGCTGTAATTCAGGCTGGTTTTGAACTTGCTTTGTAGCAAAGGATGATCTTGGGCTCCCCATCTTACTGTCTTCACCTGCCTGGTGCTGGGCTGCTGGGATTACAGATGCCATGCCTCGGGTAGGGGTCTCATTTCTAGCAATTTCCCCAATGATGCTAGTGCTTCAGGGGCAAGGACCAGATTTTGAGTAGCAAAGCAGATATGTCCCAGGACACATGTAAATGGTCATTCAGAGCAGCACCATTTAACAGCTGCAAAGTAAGCATAACCTAGATAATCACGTAGGTAGATGTAGAGTAGATAAATACATGTTGGAGTTATAATTAATAGACTCCTATTGCAGCGTTAGTGATGAACACAAGTTACAGCATGGGTGGCCCTTGGGATCTAATCTCAGCAAAACAAGTGAAGGGACAAACTCCTGAGTATAACTGCATCTGTGTCCGGCTCAGACTGTGCTTTGGGGTGGATGCAGCGAGGTAGAGAACATTAACAGTAAAAAGCTCGGTGGTCAGCAAGTGCCTGGCACACCATCCTCAGCATGAGGGGTAGGTGGGCAGCAAGTGCCTGGCACACCATCCTCAGCATGAGGGGTAGGTGGGCAGCAGGGAAGGGACCATTCTAAGATCAGGGCAGTGGCTTGGAAAGTGGAAATTAGAGAGATTATGTTTAGGAAGATGTCTTCTGGGTTGGTGCCAGTGTTTATTTCTGGAATACATGTTAGGTATTGTGCATTTCACAATAAGATGTTTTTAAAACATTTAACACACCTTTACTCTGTAATCTGATTTTGAAAAAATGTTGCCTATTACATCTCAGTGCAGACACAGTGATTGAAATTTCCCTCAGGTGAGCTGCATAAAAGAACTGACATAATCAAGTCTCTGATGAAGAAGGTCAAAATGCTTGAATCCAATCAAATAGAATGTCAGGCAGCTCTTCAGAAGACTCAGCAGCAGCTTCAGGAAATGGCTCAAAAGGCTACACACTCTGCCCTCCTCTCGGAAGACCTTGAGGTTGGTTGTAATTTTTAATGAACTTCATTAGTCCATTTCAGTGACAGAAAAATGAACTTTAAATGTCACCATTAAAAATGGCCTGTGTGTATGGAAGTGTGTAGTGTGTGTTCTGTCCGTCTTGGCTTTGTGTTCTCCCAGCTTTCTGGCTAGCTGCACAGCACCGTTCTGTCCTGGAGGTGAAGTTTCATCATAGCCCATAAAGGGTTTTGCTGTTTGGTTTAGAAGCATTGTCCTTTTTACCAACAATGGCTTATTTCAGAAAACCTCCTTTCTCGAGGTCTGAAATAAGTGCCTTCAAGTTTTGGTAGCTTCAGATCTGGCTTTCTAGATTCTGAACCCCTCTCTTGTCCTCCCCTGCCCTCCCCTCCTTCCTTCCCTCTCCCTCCTCCCTTCCCTTTTCCTCTCTCTCTCCTTTCCCCTCTTCTTTTCCTGTTGTGGAGATTAAACCCAGGGCCTTGAAGAAGCAAGTGCTTTACATTCCCAGACATTTTTCCATGTCTCCTTTAGACTCCTCTAGCTAGTGTTGAACTGCGGTCCTCCAGTCTCAGCCTCTCTCTCAAGTGCTGAGATTAGCCTAAACTCTATCTGATACAATAAACACACACATGCCCAAGCTAGTAACATATCTGGGGTAAAATTGGTAACATCAAGTTTTCAGTATTTCATTCTTTCTTTATTTTTTTGTTTTTTGTTTTTTTTTTTTTTTTGTTTTTTCAAGACAGGGTTTCTCTGTGTAGCTTTGCGCCTTTCCCTGAACTCACTTGGTAGCCCAGGCTGACCTCGAACTCACAGAGATCCGGCTGGCTCTGTCTCCTGAGTGCTGGAATTAAAGGCGTGCACCACCACCGCCTGGCCATTCTTTCTTTACTATTTGTTTATTTGTTTATTGGTTTTTTTTTTTTTTTTTTTGAGATAGTCTCACTATGTAGCCCAGGCTGGTCTCAAACTGGTAATCCTTCTGCCTCAGCCTCCTGAATGCTATGATTACAGTTTGTGACACTGTGCTCAGCTAAGCTGTATATTGTAGAACAGTTTTATGGTTACAACAAAATTGTATGGCAAGTACAGAGTTCCCATGTCGGCTATATCCACACACTCAGTCTCCCGCACTTCTGAGGCCCTGCAGCACAGTGGTCTGTCTGTTATAACTGGTGAATGTGAGTGGACACATCATTACCAGCTCAAGTCTAGTTAGAGAAAGAACGGCTTACTTTTTGTGTTTTGCTTTCTATAGGATTTTTGCAAATGCATATTGGCATATTGAACGAAACCCAGGATAAAGGTTTTTTTAGCCTGGATATTAAAAAAGATGTGCAGAATTCACTAAGGCTACTTCCTTGATGAAAATCCAGTTCTCATCTATTTATTATCTTCTTTACTCCCAACCTAGAATTATGAATAAAAAATAGGAAAAGGACACAAGTCATGAAAGAAGATGTAATTTATGTTTTTTCTAGTTTCAACTATCATAGATTTTTTTTCTTTTTTTTTTGTGCTAGATAGTAATTGTAATTGACAGTGAATGTGTAAAATCATAAGCAAAGCTCCATGACTTCAGAACAGCTACTCTGTGTTCATGGAGAGGCATAGAATTTGGGACTGGGCTAGTTTTTGAGTGGCTTCCTTAAACCATCTATGTGGTGTTTTATTTGTGAGTTAACTAAAATAAAATGATTTTACTTAAAAATAAATGTTTATCAACTTAACCTATATAAATCAGTACAGGTTAGAACAGTTAGTTGTTAAGTATTGAGAGAAGGCTCGAGTCAATAGGAGAATAGGTATTTGCCTTGTTTTTGACGATTGTTTATTTAGCCCACTTTGTTCCTTAAAAACATCAAATTTAAAAAATAGAGACACGAGTGTTGACTGTAGTCATAACATAATGAGAGCACCCGCAGACTCAATATTTCTGTGTTGTTCCCTTGTAGGCTAGAAATGAAAACCTCAGCAGCACGTTAGTGGAACTCTCTGCTCAGGTAGGACAATTGCAGGCTAGAGAACAGGCTCTCACGACCATGATAAAGCTGAAGGTAAGTGAAATGCCGTACCTCCACTTCCGGGGCACTCTGTACTGACAGAGCTCACCCCCACACCCCGGCTCTCCCCACGTCCTCAGCAGCCCAGAAACAGAGCTGCTACCATTGCGAATTTCATCTTCCTCTTTAAAAAAGGAAAGAAAGCGTGGGGCGGTGGTGGTGCATGACTTTAATCCCAGCACTCGGGAGGCAGAGGCAGGCGGATCTCTGTGAGTTTGAAGCCAACCTGGTCTACAAAGCCAGTTTCAGGACAGCCATGACTGTTACACAGAGAAACCCTGTCTTGAAGAAAAAAAAAAAAAAGCCAGAACAAAAAGAAAAAAGAAAAAGGTTACACAGTGCTCCCAAAGCTTCTGCGCTCCATCTCAGTGAGTCCGTTCCCTCCCAGGTACCTGCTGTAGTCTCCTGAAGATAGTGACCCTTAGATGCTCACTAGACTTTTAGTAAAACAAGAGAACTGGCAGCTGGCAGACGCTGGTACAGTGTGAAGCATGGGCTCCTCAGACAGGGGGCGCCCCTCTGCCGCATGCATCTTTGGCAGTTGCTAAGCAGGGGATGATGTTGGTGTAGTGGGACATTTGTATGAATTCATCTGTAATTTTCTCCCAGCATTAACGCTGGGACATGATCATGAGCAACCTTTCTGAAAATTAAAGAGAAAATATTAAAATCTGTAGAGTTAGCTTTAGTGAAAATAGTGACCAGCATGATATCCATCACGGCACTGGAAGAGCCTGTGAAAAACCGAAGGTGTTTCCAGGTGTCCCCATGTTAGGGCAGTGTGTCCATAAAGAAGCAGCATGCCCTCGATCAGAGTTCTAATAGAGGTGAATGGTCTTCGCTAGAAGCACATGCTTATCCTGACATACTTAGAAAGACTGAAACAGGAACTCCCAGGTTCCTTGTTTAAGGTTCACAGGGATTGAAGGAATTGTCTCTCTTGTTATTGGCTTAACTGCTTATTATTTTTAAAGTTAGACACAAAGTTTTTGGTGTTTGTTTTTGTTTTTTGTTTTTTCAAGACAAAGTTTCTCTATGTAACAGCCCTGGTTGTACTGGAACTTACTCTGTATCACTCTGTAGACCAGATTGGCCTCGAACTCACAAAGATCCACCTGCCTCTGCCTCCTGAGTACTGGGATTAAAGGCGTGCGCCACCACCAACCCAGCTTGTGTACTGTTTTAATAAAACAGTTTTTTAAATGTATGGCGGTGGGATCTGAACCCAGAGCCTTTTACATGCTAGGTAAGCACTCTACATCCTTAGCCCTTCTACTGTTTTTAAAGATTTTGTTTTGTTTTGTCTAGTGACCTGAAACTTGTAATGTAGCCCAGGTTGGCCTGGGACTCATTGATCCTTCTCCCTTGGCTTCCAGAATGCTGGGATTCCATCCTGCCCAGTCTTCCTCGAGCTATTGAGTGGTTTGCCCCAGTTGTTTTCTCTCCATAGCCCTCCAAGCCTGTGAGGATTTTATCAGGCTGCATGTGTGGTGCTGCGGGAGCAGTGGGTGGGCTCAGGAAGGTATACCTGTTAATCGTAGTACTTCAGCAAGTGTCCCTGAGTCTGAGGAGTGAACCTGGGCAAGTGCTCTGCCACTAAGCTACCTCAGCCGCTTATTGTTGTACATTAATTACGGTTAGAATTGCTTTTCAACCATAAAAGTTTCTAATGCAGCATGTTGGTTGGATGAGATTTTAAGAGTCTGTCCTTTTAACAAGCTGAATGTAGGTAAGAAATGTTGGCCCCATGGGACTTAACCTGTCATCCAGAGAATAACATCCCCATGGAAGAGCAGCCAACCCCTTACTTGCTGAACATTCTAGCCTGGCCATCAAATTGTTTGATTTTTGCTGGTTGTGGTGGCGCACACCTTTGATCCCAGTACTGGGAGGCAGGGGCAGGCAGATCTCGGTGAATTTGAGGCCAGAGCAGTTGGTCTACAGAGCAAGTTACAGGACAGTCAGGGCTATGTAAAGAGACCCTGTCTAAAAAAAAAAAATGTCTGATTTTCAACTTTTCAAGAGAAAGTAAGGTGTCGCGTGACAGCACATGGTTCCCCAGACCAGCCAACAACGTTGAAATGGCTGCTTTAGCACCACGGTCAGATAAGAATTGTTTGTGCTGGGCGGTGGTGGCGCACACCTTAAATCCCAGCACTTGGGAGGCAGAGGCAGGTGGATCTCTGTGAGTTTCAGGTCAGCTTGGGGTACAGAGTGAGATCCAGGACAGACACCAAAGCTACACAGAGAAACCCTGTCTTGAAAAAACAAAAAAGAAATGGAAAAAAAAAAAAAAAAAAAGATCTTTTTTTGTGTCTACTGATTTCATTGCCACTTGGTGCTACCATAGAATTACAACAACTGAGTTAACCTGAAAGGTGTTTAGAAAGGAACTCACTGCACAGTACAGTCTAATTAAGAACAGCCTAACTGATTATTTAGAATTTAAAAATCTAGACTAACCACTACTGACTAGCCCGACGACCTGAGTTCAGTCCCTGGGACCCACATGGTAGAAGGAGAGAACTGACTCCCTACAAAGTGTCCTCTGACCTCCACACACAGGCTGTGACATGACAACACCAAGCTTCTCCCCTCCACCCTCCACCAAATAAAAATAAGTGTAATAGCAGACCATCATACACACAAAATAAATGTAAAAATTTAACTTAAAAAAATCTAGACTAACAATTTTCTCCTTGGTTTTTAGGACAAAGATATTATTGAGGCAGTCAATCACATTTCAGACTGTTCGGGTAAATTTAAATTGTTAGAGCATGCTTTACGTGATGCTAAGATGGCAGAGACTTGTATTGTGAAAGAAAAGCAAGATTATAAGCAGAAATTGAAGGCACTTAGGTTTGAAGTCAGTAAACTGAAAGGTAAGGAAATAATTTAAGATAGTAGTACCTTGTCTTGGGAGTTTATTTCTTCTGAGTTCCCTTAATCTTCTACTTGAAAGTGGGTTTATTCCTGGCTATAGATCCTAACATGCAATATCTGTTTCATTTATATAGAATTGTGCCATAAGTTTTGTGATACAAGATAACAGAATTGTGGTTAAACTGCAGCTTTTCCCCCAGAGCTGAGGACTGAACCCAGGGCCTTATCTTTGGTAAATCCCCAACCCTGCATCATATTTTTAAGGGACTCCTGCTTCAGGTCACTTGACTGTATCAGTTAGCTGTGCTGAGACATGCTGTGTAATAAACAATGCAATGTAAGTGCAGCAGTTGTTAAACTGGAGCCGCTGGAGTTGGTCCACATGAGTTGGTTTAGCCTAGACCCAGCTAGGCTCCTCACAGACTAGTTGTGTTTCAAGTGTCTCTTCTCCTCTCCCATGGGCTAGTCAGAGCATCTCTTCCCACAGTGAGGGCAGAAACTTGAAAAAGAACAGAAACATTGGAAGATTTTTAAGGTTTAGGCCTGGACCTGCCATGGTGCCACTCTGCTTTGTAAGCACCTCATGTGGCCGAACCCAAAGCCAGTCAGTGGGGAACTGCTCAGCTCTTTTGGGGAGAAACATGTAAAATCTAATCAGGGGAGTTGAGGGATCTTGCAAATGCCTTTTGGGTGGTTTTCTAGTTTTGTTCTAGGTACTTCTGTGACTCACTTCTTTCTGATTCTTGATGTCTTCTAGTGAAAGATAGACCAAATGCCGTGTGTGTGTGTGTGTGTGTGTGTGTGTGTGTGTGTGTGTGTGTGTGTGTTGTGTTGTGTTTGAATAAGAATACCCATGAGAGTGTCAATTTACATTGATCTGTGAGGACCTAGAAGTAGGCCCACTCCTCTCTGGTCCCCCCTCCCCCCCCCCCCTGGGGGGGGCAGCTTGACCAGTGCGTGGGTGCTGAGGTGACCGTGGGACTGAGGAGCTATGGCTCTAGCCTCAGATCTGCACCATTTTATAAATGATGCCTGGGTCAGGTTAGAGGATGACTATTTCATAAGCCTCTGAGGAGCTGCCCCAGAGCCACAGCTTGAGGAAGTTGTTCTCACGCCTGTCCAGGGTGAAATGCTTCCTAAGACAGTGGCGGGCTCAGTGGTTAAGAGCACTGGTTGCAGAGCACTGGTTGCTTTTCCAGAGGACCTGGGTTCAATTCCTAGTGTCCACATGACAGCTCACCACTGTCTGTCAGTCCAGTTCCAGGAGATCCAACGCCCTCACAGATATACATGCCGTAAATGCAGGCAAAATACCAGTACACATCAAATAAAAACAAATCATTAAAGACAGTGGCTTAGTCTTCCTGGACATAGTCAAGCATGAGTATAATGTGGAGAAGATTGCTGCCTACTCTCAAATTCAATTGTTTAGATTCTGAGATCTGAGCCAGGCATGGCAGTACAGGTACTAACACTTGAGAGGTAGAGGTAGGATTATCAGTTCAAAGTCATCCTCCACTACATAGGGATTTCAGAGGCCAGCCTCGGCTACAGGTGACCCTGTCTCAGCCCCATCTCCTAAATCTGAAATTGTTATCTTGACCAATTTAATGTAACAGTCTGAGGCTACAGAGATGGCTGCTCAGAGGTTAAGAGCACTGACTGCTCTTCCAGAGGTCCTGAGTTCAATTCCCAGCACCCACATGGTGGCTCACAACCATCTGTAATGAGATCTGGTGCCCTTTTCTGGCCTGCAGGGTCACATGCAGGCAGAACATTGTATACATAGTAAATAAATCTTAAAAAAAAAAAAACCAAAACCAAAAAAACAAAACAAAACAGTCTTGACCTTACCATGCCTTCACCAATGGTCATAAGTTCGTTCTCCATTTATAACATCAGCTAAAACCATCGTTTCATAAGACCCATAGCAGTAGTGGGGACAGACGGTTTGTCTTTGGGTCAGCACAACACCAGGGATACACTGTGGGTCATCACTGTTTATTGAGTTTGTGTGTGTGTCAAGAAGGATGTTCAAGAAGAAGTCTGTTGTGTCAATATTTATATGTTATAAATATTTGATTAACCCAATATTTATTTCAAACATTTTTTAGAGTAGGGTAATGGGAAATAGAACAGAGAGCACTTAGTGCAGGTTGACTGAGAAAGTAGCTGTGAAGAGTTAGCACTTGAGCTATAACTGGAGTGCAGACAGAACTAGCCAGACCCCAACTGAGGACTCTAAGCAGAAGGCCTGGCGTGGATTATAAGTGGAGCCGTTCCCGGTTTGTTTGTTTCCTTCTTGGAAAAGGGAGCTCTGTATTTCTCTTTTCCCAGTTAGGTACACAGACATTCACTTCAGTTTGATGCTTTTGATGCAGTCTGTTTGCCTGGAGTTAGTGATGGATCTCACAGGTTCATGCCCAGGAGCCTGTTCCCACTTAAGACACCAGTTCCAAATCCCAGGGGAGGCTCACATACTTGTGACTAACCAACTGGCAGTAAAGCAAGGGTTCCCACAGCCATCTGAGCGGCCGCCACCATTTTCTGAGCCCCAGCATTGAAGAAAGCTCAGGGAAGCACTTTGCCCCATTTCTGGTCTGGCTGAAACTCTGGAGCTGCGGATGGAAGTGGCTTCCTATGCAGAGCTCCTACATCCTCTCCTAAAGCAAAACCTGAACCCCTCCACATGTATGTAGCTGGGACTCTCCATCTCAGGTCCTCTGGAGTCTCTATAGAGCTCTGTCTTCCCCTTGGTTTGGAGGCAGGTGAGTAGGGCTGAAAATTCCAGCCCTTGATGGCCTAGGACTAGCTGGTGAACAGTGGGTTCTAGATGCTAGCTAGGGGGGGATCTGGAAGGGTCCCTGTTTTGTTTCATTTGGCTTTGCTTTGTTTTTTGAGACAAGGTCTTGTCATATAGCATAGCCCAGGGTAGCCTCAAATTTGAACTTTGTGATCCTCCTGCCTCAGCTTCCTAAGTGCTGTCATTAGCAGAGGGACTTCTTTTGAATGGCAAGACATACTCATCAGTCAGAAAATTCCAAGAGATTTAGAATCTGTTCACCAAGAATGGAGAGCAAAACCCAGGTTATGTCTTCTTTATCCCAGCGGCAGTCAAGGAACTGAGAGAAAGAAGAGGAGAGAGGTAGGGAGCAGAGAAGGCCGTGTCACTGTGGGCCTCGCTGTTGACAGCAATGGATTTGGGTTTCATCCTGGTGCAGCAGGGAGGGCCTCTTACCAAGAAACGACACAAGGAGTTTTTATTTTTAAAGATTGCTCTGGGTCCCCTGAGTGTAGCAAGAGAGGCCAGGCCAGAGCCAGGGGAGCAGCCAGGCCAGAGATCGCGAATGGCCCAGTTGTAGACCGGGCAGCATCCTCAGAGGCGGCTGAGCACAGGAAGGTTTTGTGTAGTGTCTGGTTCCTAGGAGGCTGGTATTTACCTAAGGATTTTTCTTCCTTCTATGTATGAAGAGGACCTAACCGAAAAGACCACAGAAAACAACGATCAACGGGAAGAGATCATTCGCCTCAAGCAAGAGAAAAGTTGCCTGCATGACGAGCTAATTTTTACTGGTAAAAGAATTGGATTGAAGTATTTGCATAGTTGCATGTTTGTAACCTCAGCTTTTTGTCACAGGCTAAGGGGTGTACACTTCCTTAAAAATAAGGTTTTGGGTGTTTCCCCCTGTCTTTTGAGGGATTGGTAAGAGACTGGGCTTGAGTTTTTAACATTCTTTTAATATTTATTTATGTATTTTTGGTTTTTTGAGACAGAGTTTAACTGTATAGCCCTGGCTGTCCTGGAACTCACTCTGTAGACCAGGCTGGCCTCAGACTCACAGAGATCTGCCTGCCTCTGCCTCCCGAGTGCTGGGATTAAAGGTGCACACCACCACCCCTGGGCAAGTTTCAACATTTTTATTCTCTATCCAAGTAGCTGATTTTCTTCCTGTAAAGTGGAGATACCTCTTGTCCAGCTTGAATGCTGGACATTATGCTTCTGAAGAAAACAAACAACTCCTCCTGGGAAGCTCACGCTAGGGAAAGCGTGTGGCTCAGTTGGTGGAGTGTCTGCCCGACACACACAGCCCTGGGTTCAGTCCCCGGCAGTAGCTGGGCCTAGGAGCAGATAACTTGTAATCGCAGAACTTGGAAAGTGGAGGCAGAAGGGTCAGAAGTAACATCATTTCAAAAGCATCTTACAGATTGATGAGGGGAGGTTGTTTGTAATTTCACAAATGCTAAGTAAACAGTCAGGAGTTCAAAGGGCTGGGGTGTAACCTAGTGTGCAGAGTACTTAACCTAGCACTAGACTTACCAGCACTAAAAACTCTTTAGGAATTCAGCATTGAGTTTGCAAATTGATTACTGTCAGTTACTAAGTTGGGGAAACACTCATGTATATGTGTAACTCAAAGTAAGAAAGCTAGGCACGAGTCTTCCTCAGTGATTCAGTGATAAGTGTCCCAAGCCTTCCCGTCACACACCACCATCCCCAGCACTGCCCCTGTCCATCCCACCTGAGACTTCCACTGGTGAAGTCCTCTCCCTTCTCGCTATGGACATCGAGCTTGTTTATACCCCTGCCCACCAAGGGTTCCCTCATTTCAGCAGGTAGTATGTTAGGAAAATCATAGTTTTGGAGGGAAAATTTCAAAGAGAAAATGAAATGAACATTTTTGGCCCAGCCATTCTTCTCAATCCCCTCCTTTTAAGAGGAGAATTCCTGCAGTTTAAAGGGAAAACACAGCATTACCTAATTTTCACATACAATGGAATCCTCCATTTTAATCTGGCTCTTAAGGATTAGGGTAGGACAGTGCCGGTTTCACCACTAGAGGTCACTGTGTTCATTAGTTCTAGGATTTCTGTCTTAGTTGTGCCTTGTGTGTAACTAAAGATACACTTTATGGTTGAAATCAGACACTCTGGGTCAGCCTGTATGATTCCACTAAAGCCAAGGCAGTCACAGGCCACAGAGAATTAGAACTAAGCAGGTGCTGCAAAGACACTGCTTGATTTCCTGTGGTATATTCTGAGGTGTAATGCCAAAGGTCAATGTCATGCAAGTCTTCATCTGCCTGCATATCATATTAAGATACATATGTACACATAACACTGTATGCGACGGTCAGAGGATGACGTCTAGTCTACAGGCTATTTTACACCACCAGCCCACCCTTGATTCATAAATAGAAAAGCCTCCTTGATTCGTAAAATGTATGAGACTTGTTAAATAAAACTATAATCCATTTTGGGAAATAACTTTTAAAAACATTCCTTCAACCGATTAACTTTCTACTGAAGACAATTATACATCATTGTTTCAAAAACAGTTTTTGTATGTTTTAATTATAAAAGTAAATTGAGGTGGCTAGCGATGTAGAGTTGGTAGAATGCTTACCTATTATACCTTGGGTTTATTCCCCAGCATTACAAAAACCGTAGCAGGGTGTAGTGGCATGTACCTTCAATCCCAGCAGGCAAAGACAGAGGCAGGTGGATCATTGTGAGTTTGGGGCCAACCTGGTCTACATAGGAAAGCCAAAGCTACATGAGACCCTGTCTCTAAACATACAAAAACAATGAAAAAAACCAAGGCAGGTGTGTATATGTGTGTATTATAGGTATACACCTGTAATTCCAGCACTCAGAGAAGGAGCAAGAGTGCAAGGTCGGCCTCAGTTTATATATAGTCAGTTTGAGGGTGGCCTGGATTATGTGAGACCCTGTATTTAAAAACAAAGTGAGGGCTGGGGATGTAGCTCAGTGGTAAAGCCCTTGTCTAGCATGCCCAAGGCTCTGGGTACACATAAAATAAGTACAGAATTAAATACATGAATAAGAATTGAGGGTGTGCATGCATGTAGCTCAGTGGCTGAGTGCCTCCTGCCGAGCATACCCTGAACCCTGGGTTCAGTCCTCAGTGAAACAAAGGGGAGTGGGTAACAATGAGCTTGACAAGGCTTCCTGTGGTCACATGCTGTCAGTTCTGTGGAAAGACTGTGGCAGAAACTTGACACATTGTAGTCAATGTTGGAAGACGGTCTCAAGTTTTACTTTCAAGTTCAGAACTTTGTTTCCTCTTGTTGAAGGTGAAGCTGTTTGTATCATAGGCTTAGAGACATGTTTCATTTCTTTGTACCAGCTGGTCGGTCGTGTGGAGCTTGCAAAGAGGAAGATCTTAGTGTGTCTTGCCTGCTATGAATGAAGGCTTGTCCCATTGAAGTTGTTCCTCAGGCTATATAGTCAGTACAAGGCAGGCCTCAACTAGACTCAGACCCCAGAGCGCCCTCCTCCATGCTGTGTTGTGTTCACGCAGAGCTATTAGCACAACCTCACCTCTTTCATTTCTGTAACCAGCTTGTAGAAACGGACAGACCCATTGCACTCCGCTCCCTCAGCCTGGCAGCTTTGCAGACCTCTGTCTGGACCAGGAAGCAGGCTGTTTCTGTGAGAGTTGCTTCCTGTGCGGCAGGAGGCTGTTCTAAAGTCAGCATTTAGCTGGGTGTGGCAACACATGCCTGTAATCCGAGCCCCGGAGAGGTAGAGGCAGAAGGATCAGGGCTCAGGGCCTACCTTGGCTACTTAAGGTGGTCAAGGTCAGCCTGAATTACACAAGAGTCTGGATCAAAAACACGCAGTGGAGCTGGGGAGGTAGCTGAGTGGTGAAGAGTACTTACCCTGTAATCCTGAGGACCAGATGGGTCCCAGCGCCCAGCAAGCCAGGCATCCTGAAATTCCCAGCTCTGAGGGGAACAGAGACATGGGATCCTTGAGGCTTGCTGGCTTCTAGCCCAGATCTAACCAGATTCAGGGAAAGACTTTGCCTCACAGAAGTAGGTAGAGACTAGCTAGGCTCTTGAGATGGCTCCTCCAGGAAAAGCATTTGCTGCCAAGCCTGAGCATCTGAGTTCAATACTTGAGACCTACACGGTGGAAGGAGGGAACAGATTCTTGCTCTCTGACCTCCACATGTATAATTGTGTGTGACTCAGTGGGTAGAAATGTTTGCTGCTAAGGCTGGTAAACTGAGTTTAATCCCCAGGACCCACATTGTAGAAGAGAACTAAGGCCCAAATCCTTTGACCTCAAGAAGTATGCATAGCACGTGTGCACTTGCAGTTACTTTAAAAACAAATACAATACATTATTTGCTCCTTATAAAAATATAGGTGGACCGCAGGCAAGAGCCCCCAGTTGGTTATCAACACCAAGTGGTCAGCCTTGAAATCACATGTGGCTAAGTAATGTTATATGGACTCTGTGTGTGTGTGTGTGTGTGTGTGTGTGTGTGTGTGTGTGTGTAAAACCCACAAAGAAAAAGAGGCTATGAATTTGAAAGAGCAAGGCTACATGAATGGGATTGGAGAGGGGAAAGGGAAAGGGGGAAATGATGTGATTTTATTTCACTTTTAAAAGAATCATCATTAAAAAAAATAGGTGGAAATTGATACCTCCTTTGGTCTCCAAGCATCTCACACACACTCATAGACATGCACACTAATAGACAAGTAGAAGTAAATCCTAATCACAAAATAATACTAAGATTAGAAATTAATGTTAAATTAAAATGTGCCTGTTTGCTTGCTTATTGTGTTTTTTGTTTGTTTGTTTGAGCCAAAGTCTTATGTGGCCCAGGGAAGCTTTCAATTCTTGATTCTCCTGCCTCTACTTCCCATGTGTTGGGAGTATAGATATACACTAGCATACCAGCTTCTAAAGTTTGTTTATTTATTTGATATTTTTTAATGAGTATGAGTGTTTGCCTGCTTGTATATCTGTATACCATGCACATGTCTGGTGCCCAAGGAGACCAGAAAGGGCATCAGATTTCCTGGAACTGGAGTTTCAGATTATTATGATCTGTTGTGTGGGTGCTGGGAACTGAACCAGATTCTATCTCAACTGCTGAGCCATCTCTTCAGCCTCCAAAAATTTATTTTTAATTGAGTCGTAATTCATCATATTGCCTGGAAATATAGCTCAGTATTAAAGCACTTTCTTAGCATGCTCCAGACCTAGATTTGATCTCTAACACCACTGATGTTATACACTTATGAAGAACAATGTATTAATTTAAAATACACATATATAAGGTTTGATACTATGGTATTTTAAATGAGAATATGCCCTATAGACTCCTATGTTTGAATACTTGGTGCCCAGGTGGTGGAACTGTTTAGGAAGGATTAGATTATATGGTCTTGTTGTAGGAAATGTTTCAATAGGGGGGGGCTTTGAGTCTTTCAAAAGCCCATGTCATCCCTAGTGAGCTCTCTCTGCCTCTTCTTTTTTAAAAAGATTTTATTTTTTATTTTAAATTATGTGTATGTGTGTGTGTGTGTGTGTGTGTGTGTGTGTGTTTGTGTGGGTATGTGCATGTGCTTGCAGTGTTCTGGAGGCCAGATGAGGACAACCATGGGATTGTGTTAGAGGCAGGTGTGAGCTGCCTGAGATGGGTGCCGGGAACTGAACTGTGGTTCTCTGGAAGAGCAGTAAGCACCCCTCACCACTGAGCCATCTCTCCAGCCCTTTCCCTACCTCTTACTTGTGGATAAGGATATAAGTTCTCAGCTGCTGACATGCTTCCCACCATGAGTCATGGACTCTAACCCTCTGTAATTGGAAGCCCCAGTAAACTCTTCAATAAGTTGGTGTGTCTCTTCACAGCAATAGAAAGTAACTAAGTAACTAACTAAAGTAAGACAAATACCAACTAAGAATAATTTTATTTCCATCTCTTGGTATTGATTTTTTTTTTTTTTTTTTTTTTTTTTTGGTTTTTCGAGACAGGGTTTCTCTGTGTAGCTTTGCGCCTTTCCTGGAACTCACTTGGTAGCCCAGGCTGGCCTCGAACTCACAGAGATCCGCCTGCCTCTGTCTCCCGAGTGCTGGGATTAAATGAGTGCCCACCACTACGCAGCTCACATCAGTTCTTCTGTACACTGTTAATGTATGTTTGGGGACAGTACCTTTTTCTTTCTGTATACTCTTGTGTAATGCTGATGCTAGGGATCAAACCTAAGGCCTTCCATGTGCTAACTAAGCACTCTACCACTAAGCCTTATCCCCATCTCCTAAAAATTACTTCTTTATATGTTTTTGTGATGTTTTAAATAGGGTCCTTCTGTGTTGCCAAGACTGTTCTCTAACTCTTGGCCTCAAATGAATTTCATGTGTCAGACTCTGGAGTAGCTGGGAACCCAGGTTCACATCACTAAGCCCAGCTTGTTAAAAATAAATTCCTAGGGGCTGGAGAGATGGCTCAGCAGTTAAGAGCACTGACTGCTCTTCCAGAGGATCTGGGTTCAATTCCCAGCAACCACATGGCAACTGACAGCTCACAATTGTTTGTAACTGCAGTTCCAAGGGACCTGGTGCCCTCTTCTCCAAAGGCATGTATGTGGTGTACATACATGTATGCAGCCACTCACATGCATACAATTTAAAAAGTAAAATCTTTAAAAATAAAAGCAATTCCTTAACCAGAGCTGGTAGGATACCATAATCCCAACAGTGTAGAGGCTCCAGGAAGATCATAAGTTCAAGGCCAGCCTGGATTGATAGAGGGATCCTGTCTCCATGAGTAAAGATAATGACTACTTCTCAATACCTGCTCTCAAGCTTTGTTTTTTGTTGTTTGGTTTTTTGTTTTTTGTTTTGAGTCAGAGTCTCAGGCTAGCCTTGAATTTCTGAGTTTCTCCCCTCCAACTCCCAGGTGATGGAATTACAGGTATGTGCTCCTGTGCCTTGCTTACTTTCGGGCTTTTTTTTTTTTCTTCCATATTTTCCTATAAGCACAAACATATACTTTAAATCCTTTTTTTTTTTTTTTTTTTTTTTTTTTTTTTTTTTTTTTAGATTTATTTTTTTATTTATTATGTATACAGTGAGTGTTCTGTCTGCAGGCCAGAAGAGGGAGCCAGATCTCATTGTAGATGGTTGTGAGCCACCATGTG